GTTGTTCCCATGATGGGATCAGATGACTATGTTCTGAGTGGCCAGTCTGCCCAAGGGGAGTTTCCCCAGGGGTGTGGCCTGCTTCCAAGATATCCAGGGACATCCTGGTAAGAGACACATTCTTTGAGGGATTGGAACCCTCGTGTGTGGACTACAGACTTCCGAGAGTGAGCAGCCCACCGCTCAGCCTGGAGATCTTGGATTCGTCTTTTGTTGGAGTCAACAACCAGTGTACTGCCTGCCAGCCTTGAATCTCTCGGCCCCCTGCGCTTACGGAAGCTAAGGCTGTCGCCAGCCATCTCCTCCAGAGACTTGGACTTGTCGGCTTGGACTTGTCAGCTTCTATACACTTGTGAGCCATTTTCCTAAGATAAATTTCTCTCTCTCTCTCTCTCTCTAAATATATATATACACTTTGCTGGTTTTTGTGTTTCTCTAGAGAACCCAATCTAACACAGGCTGATTAGCTCAAGGTTGGCAGACAGTACACTGGCTGTTGACTCCAACGAATGGGAAATCCAAGATCTCCAGGTCGAATGGTGGATTGTTTGCTCACGGATAGTTGTAAGCAGCACAACAGAATCCTGATCCACAGAAGAGTGTCCTTTTCTCAGGATGTCCATAAATATACTGAAAGCAGGCCATACCCTGAGGGAAACTCCGTTTCAATGGATTGGCTGCTTAAAACATACATCTTATCCCATAATTGGAACAGCGCACATCACAGTTGCTTAAACCACACAGAATTGTGGTCCAGCCAAGTTGACACACAGCTCCAACTATCACAGTCCACTCCTTGTCAACTTGGCAGTTGTACACATCTTCTTAACCATACACATATATAACCTCTAAACAAGGACAATTATGAAGTCATATTTGCTCCTAACATAATACGCTAATATGTACATCCAAAATGCATTAACCTTATTTACATTTCACAGTTCATAACAAAAGGAAACAAAAATATTTGGTGTACATATACAATAAAGAAATACAACAATCACAGTCTTTATTTCTTCAACTGGTCACATGGTCGTAGCTGATATTCAGAACAACCTTCTTCTACCACTCATTCTGTATTTCCCTTGCCCTCAGCAAACACCTCAGCTGGTTGTGGTCCTTTGCCTGGTGGAGTGACCGAAACCTTCATTCCTGAAAGGTCTGGGACATTAGTAGTAATATCAGAATTGAGTTTCTGTAGTTTTTTGTTGACTTTAATCACAGGGCATGGTAGTACCAAGAGCTGTCTTAAAGAATCTCCTATATTTCAGTCTTATTCTTACTTACCTCCATTATGTAATGTCTTCCATTTAAACACATTTGTATTTAAAACTACCCATTCAGTAGTCCAATCCAGATATGGGCTTGTAAACACTTGTTGCCATCTTGAAGATTGCTTGATTCTGTAACACACAGCAAAATGGGCATATGCAGCTACATTCCAGTTTTGATGGCCAGCTACTATTAGCACCTTTCATGGATCCACAGGAAATCCTAGCCTAACAAACTCATCTCCAGTTCCAGAGAGAACAGACTGTGTACCATTTCCCTGGGCTTCACCTGCAGAATTTAGTTCATTTTTAGAATCAGCATAGGATCTTGCTGTGTTGTTTATTTTATGACTAGGAATACCTATTTCACATCCACTTCCTCCATCTTGAACAGTTCACAGGATGATGCTGATCTCTGAGACAACAGCAACCATTTTATCTTTGTCTAGTATAAGTAGGACCAACCAACCAGCTTCATTATACTCCTCATGCTGACAGAATTGCAGAAAACTATCAAATATATGATCACCCAGAGCCTCACTTCTCAAAAGTACTTGATCTATTGGTGGTGCTGTTTTGCATATTAATATTACCACCTCATGCTATGAATTAGCAGGGCCCTCTTTGCTAATGGATGGAGGGACACCAGTGCTTTTACCATTAATCAAATTGGAGACCCAATTTAGGAAGCCCATCCTTATGATTTTGTCTCTCTAGAACCCCTGCTGGTACCAAATTCTGTTCTGGATACCTAGTGCCGCTCTGACAGGAATATACCACAAATGGGATGGCCTTAACAAACAGGAGGTTATTCTCTCAAAATTTGGAGGCTCTAAGTCCAAGGTCAAAGTGCCAAGCTCTAGGGAATGCGTGAAAGGCCCTCAACCTTCAGTTTCAGCTCTGCCACTTGATCCCAGTCCACTGAAGCTAGAGGCATCTCTTCGCTCAGCCATCTAGTGGCTCATGAGGCTAACAAGCCCAGGGTCCACAGATAAAATGGCACAGTCCCGATGTTACCAAACTACATGGCAGAGCGTTAAATCAAGTCCATTGTAAGTCCCAAGGTTGGCAGAGCACAGCAGGCTGCTGAACAATGAAATGGCTACACGCAGGGTCCAAGCATGGCATATGCTACAGACCATTCCCAAAGCTGCTGCTTATGTACCAGAAGCAGACCACATACCCAAAGGCAGCTACTCAGATGTTCACAGTAGATGCCACCATGGAGTTGATGACCAGTCTCATCACGGAGAATACTACATCCAACTGCCCAGCCACTCAACCAGGCCTGGCCAGTTGACACACAAACGTGACTACCACAATTCCATCCCTTGTCAACTTGGCACCTGTACAGATCTCCTCCAGTGGGTGGCTCCAGTCCCCTAGTTCCTCTAAGTGGTGACCTCACCCCCTTGGCCTGGTGAACCCCCTTCCTCTCCCTCTTGGGCATGGCAGCCCCGCGCCCTCACTCTTGGGCAGTGGTATGGCTCCATCCAGCAGCTCACATGAACGAGCAGCCCCACACTCCAGAACCACGTTGGTGAAGGCCTGGCTCTGAAACCTCACGGCCTGTGGTGGTCCCCCCCCCCCAATGGCCCTGGTCCTACCCTTTCAGGCTGAGGCTGCTCTGCTTCCATTTCCTTCATCTCTCTGCTTCTGCTGATTAATGC